TTTCGGGTCACCAATTTTCCGAGTTTCAAAAAGTTCTGTGCATGTTACAATTTCCCAAAGTATGCTTATTTTTTCACTCCCAAGTTATCGAGCACACCGGTCTGCTCTTGTCACATGTACATTCAATAGAGAACTATTGTCTTTTCGTGAATATAAACATTTAAAAGTCTGTCTGTGCAGTTTAAAAAAGTAAAGATAACTATTTTTATAAAGTAGGTATCTTTTTACAATTTTGTATACAATTTTATGAAAAGGTCGTCTCGAGTTTTGTACAAGTATTTGCTGTCTTCTCGATCTAGTCGCATTCAATGTTTACATCGAGATAAGGTCTGTTTGATTTTGCATAGTAACTTGATTTCAAAAGTGCCAATCTTTGCTGCATATCAATCGATTCCTTTGGATTTTTTTCCCTGACTTTCTCTGAACTAGCTGTGTATATATATATATACGAATAATTAGCATGTTCTAGAGAGGTATTATACAGACAATAATAAAATGCTTCGCTGAGCGCAGCCTGATACGACCGCAGAGGTCGAACCCTGAACAGTTTGGGTATTTTTGGACACAATATTTAAGCTTGATACTGTCTGAATTTGGATTGTGATCAAATTTTTGACATAGTATAGGTTTCTGACACAAAATAAATGTGGTCAAAGATCTTACAAATATATTGCGCAATACTGTGCAATTGAAGATTTCTTCTTGAAACTTTCCAAAAATTCGAAATTTGAAAAATTTTGAAAAAAAAATATGAATCCCTTAAAAAAATTGGAAAAAAAAATTCCCCCCACCCCCCCCCCCCCTTTTTGAAACCCTCCTTGGAGCAATAACCCCAAAACTCATTCCCAGCCTTTCCTTTGTAGTATGGAACATTGTAGTACAATTTCAGAGAGATCCATACACTTAAACACAAGTTATTGGCTGGAAACTAGAAAAATGCTTGTTTTTGGCCCTTTTTTGACCCCTAATTCCTACATGTTTGGGGCAATTAACCCCAAACTCCATCACAGCCTTCCCTTTGTTATATGGAACCTTGTGGTACAATGTCAGAGAGATCCATACACTTACACACAAGTTATTGTCTGGAAACTAGAAAATTCTTGTTTTTGGCCCCTTTTTGGCCCTTAAATCCTAAACTGTTAGCCCCATAACCCCTAAAATGAATCCCAACCTTCTACTTGTGGTATTAAACATTGTGGTACAATTTCAGAGCAATCGAAATACTTATACACAAGTTATTATCCTGAAACTAGAAAAATGCTTGTTTTGGGCCCCTTTTGGGCCCCTAATTCCTAAACGGTTGGGACCATCATCCCCAAAATCAATCCAAACCTTCCTTTTGTGGCATTGAACCTTCTTAAATAAATGTGGATAGTGTCCACATGTGGACACAGATGATGCCCCCGCTTGCATATCATATAGTTATAAAGGGACATAACTGAAGAACGGTAAAAGTGACGCTACCCAAATTTGAACTTGATCTGAGTTTTGTGGTAATAAGCATTGTGTGTAAGTCCCATAACATTTGGTTGAGGCTAACTTAAGTAGAGAACAGAAACTAAAAATTCAGCATTTTTTCTATTTGTAAACACGCATAACTCTACAACGGTTGTGTATAAGTTTTATAACATTTGGTTGAGACAAACAAAATAAAATGCTTCACTGGGGCGCAGCTTGATACGACTGCAGAGGTCGAACCCTGAACAGTTGGGGCAAGTATGGACACAACATTCAAGCTTGATACAGCTCTGAATTTAGATTGTTATTAAATATTTGACACAGCATAGGTTTCTGACACAGAAAGAATGTGGTCTAAGAACTTGAATTTTTTTAATTTACCTATTATGGTCCAATGTCCAAAATCAAAATACATGGTTAGATTCAGCATATCAAAGAACCCCATATATTCAATTTTTGTTAAAATCAAACAAAGTTTAATTTTGGACCCCAACTTGGACAAACTTGAAAACTGGGCCCATAATCAAAAATCTAAACACATGTTTAGATTCAGCATATCAAAGAACCCCAAGAATTCAATTTTTGCTAAAATCAAACTAAGTTTAATTTTGGACCCTTTGGACCTTAATGTAGACCAATTTAAAAAACGGGACTTAAAATTAAAAATCTAAATATACGGTTAGATTTGGAATATCAAAGAACCCCAATAATTCAATTTTTGATGAAATCAAACAAAGTTTAATTTTGGACCCTTTTGACCTCAATATGAACCATTTTGATAGCGGGGCCCACAAATAAAAAATCTAAATTCATGGTTAGATTCGGCATATCAAAGAACCCCATATATTCAATTTTTGTTGAAATCAAAAAAAGTTTAATTTTGGACCCCAACTTGGACCAACTTGAAAACTGGGCCCATAATAAAAAATCTAAACACGTTTAGATTCAGCATATCAAAGAACCCCAAGAATTCAATTTTTGTTAAAATCAAACTAAGTTTAATTTGGACCCTTTGGACCTCAATGAAGACCAATTTAAAAAACAGGACCCAAATTAAAAATCTAAAAACACGGTTAGATTTGGCATATCAAAGAACCCCAATAATTCAATTTTTGATGAAATCAAACAAAGTTTAATTTTGGACCCTTTTGACCTCAATATGAACCAATTTGATAGCGGGGCCTACAAATAAAAAATCTAAATACATGGTTAGATTCAGCATATCAAAGAACCTCATATATTCAATTTTTGTTGAAATCAAACAAAGTTTAATTTTGGACCCCAATTTTGACCAACTTGAAAACTGGGCCCATAATCAAAAATCTAAATACATGTTTAGATTCAGCATATCAAAGAACCTCATGTATTCAATTTTTGCTAAAATCAAACAAAGTTTAATTTTGGACCCTTTGGACCTTAATGTAGACCAATTTGAAAACTGGACCCAAAATTAAAAATCTAAATACACTGTTAGATTCGGCATAACAAATAAATAAATGTGATCAAAGATTTTACAAATCTAATGCGCCATACTGTGCAATTAAAGATTACTTCTTGAAATTTTTCAATATTTGAAATTTGAAAAAAAAAATAATATTTGAAGAATAATTCTTTTTAATTTCTGAAATCTGAAATGAGAAAAAATTGACCCCCCACAATTTCTTTTTATCCCCCCCCCCCCTTTTTTTCCCCAAAAAATTCTTTCCCTCAAGATATGGTCATAATCTCAATTCAAATTTCCAATGGAGTTGGCAACCATTTTTACCCATTTAAATTTACCATAGTGCTAACTTAATCTATTTTATAATAGAATTAAAAATATAGTGTCAAATCTTTCATATGGATTTTTTTGTAAAATAAAAAGATGCAACATTTGCAGATATTTTTACTAGTCTTCCTTTATAAATATGTATTTCTTTAAACATAATTTAAAAGCAGTGTAAGGGAAGTAACCAAAACGTTGTATTTGGATTACCTCCCTTACACTGTTTTAAATTATCTTTATTGTTCATTAACCATTACTTTATACATAATTTAAAAGCAGTGTAAGGGAGATAATTTCAATGATGTATTTGATTTATCTCCCTTACACTGCTTTAAATTATGTTTTGTACTAAAGTATTTGTCCATTAACCAGGACAACCTTGTTTTTCCCCCTTTTTTGCCCCTAATTCCTAAACGGTTTGAGCCATAACCCCCCAAAGCAAATCCTAACCATCCCTTTGTGGTATGGAAACTTGTAGTATAATTTCAGAGAGATCCATACACCGTTCCACAGTTATTGTCTGGAAACTAGAAAATGCTTATTTTTGGCCCCTAATTCCTTAACTGTTGGTACCATAACCCCCAAAATCCATCCCAACCTTCCTTTTGTGGTATTTAACCTTATTCAGCAATTTTTCCATTTGTAAAGGGGCATAACTCTAGAACGGTAAAAGTGACGCCACCAAAATTTAAACTTGATCTGTGTTTTGTGGTAATAAGAATTGTGTATAAGTTTCATAACATTTGGTTGAGGCAAACTAAAGTTAGAGAACAGAAACGAAAAATTCAGCAATTTTTCATTTGTAAAGGGGCATTACTCTAGAACGGTAAAAGTGACGCCACCAAAATTCAAACTTGATCTGTGTTTTGTGGTAATAAGCATTGTGTATAAGTTTCATTACATTTGGTTGAGGCAAACTAAAGTTAGAAAACAGAAACAATAAATTCAGCAATTTTCCATTTGTAAAGGGGCTTCTCTAGAACGGTAAAAGTGACGCCACCAAAATTCAAACTTTATCTGTGTTTTGTGGTAATAAGCATTGTGTATAAGTTTTATAACATTTGGTTGAGGCAAACTAAAGTAAAGGAACGGAAACGAAAAATTCAGCAATTTTTCCATTTGTAAAGGGGCATAACTCTAGAACGGTAAAAGTGACGCCACCAAAATTCAAACATGATCTGTGTTTTGTGGTAATAAGCATTGTGTATAAGTTTCATAACATTTGGTTGAGGCAAACTAAAGTTAGAGAACGGAAACCAATTTTTGGACGTACGTACGGACGGACGGACAGGGGTAAAACTTAATGCCCCCTCTGCTACGGTGGGGGCATAAAAATGTCATAGAGATCCATTCACTTAAACTAAAGTTATTGTCCGGAAACCAATGTGTCTTCGGACAATGACGACGACATCATACCATTATACGATCCCAAAATTTTTTTTGCAGTTGTATAAAAAAATGAATTGAAGTTGGTAATCAAGGAATTTATTCGCATAGCAACATTTTAAACCAATTTTACTCCAAGCATCTATAGACTGCTGTAGTCGTCGTTTGCTACTTAAGGAGGAAAATGATAACATTGATTGGAAGTTTTATTTTTATTTCAATTTATTTCTATTTTTACTATTTACCAGAACGTTTTTCCTTGAATCCATAATTGATAGCGTTCTTGCTAAAATGGGACAAACATTGAGAAGTCTAGTTTTCAGTGTTTACAGGGGAGGTAATATTTTGTCACTAGATTTCCCACTGCATTTAGAGAGAAAAACATAAGAAACATAATTAACTTTTAATCACTCGTAAACTTTAGCACTTCAAAACAAATACATGATTGAAAAAAATAATAATATTGCATCAGTATATCATTAAGCCTTGAATAAATATATGAAAGTAATATTCAGGATTATTCCAGTAAAATGAACGTGGGAGGATAAGAAAGGAAGGTTAATTGATTGAACTTGATGTAAGTTATATATGGTTGTTTATCTTTTCCATTCAAACTGCTCAAAGTATGTTGGTCTGTGATGCAGTCTTTTCCAACCCTGCTCCCCCCCGACCCACATCCATTTTAATCAGAATAGTCCTCAATTTAATCATTTAAATAAAAGAAGATATATAATATTGTAATACATTATATGTAAAATAACCCATATCAAACATACAATGCAGAGAGAAAGTGCAATTATTTACTTTGTTGACTTGATGAATATTTATGATCTAAAAGTTCTCATAGTATTTTTCAATTAATATCACAGTCAAGGGTAAACAAATAAATGAAGGCTACACTGGGTGAAGCATGATATATGTGATACAACCATCCAAAGAATGGTGTATGATTGCAAATGAGACAACTATCCACCCAAGTTAAAATGAAGTGGACTTTATTATGGATTTGGTTGATGTTGGGTTTCTGTCTCATAAATGTTGAACTCAAGTGTCTTCTTTAATTCATTAAATCTTTTTGATGTTTGTCCTCTTTTACCACTTCTGTTTGAAATAATTAGTGCTATGTCTTTGAGAAAAGCACTAAAACTACAGATACAAATTCAAATATTCTAGCTTTAAGGCTGTTGTCTTTCAATTATGGGTTGGTATTATATATTTTCAAATTAATGAGTTTTTGCTTTGCAAAAATAAAATGCTCCACAGGGCGCAGCTTGATACGACCGCAGAGGTCGAACCCTGAACAGTTGGGGCAAGTATGGACACAACATTCAAGCTTGATACAGCTCTGAATTTGGATTGTGATTAAATATTTGACACAGCATAGGTTTCTGAGACAGGATGAATGTGGTCTAAGAACTTAAAAATTTTAAATTTGACATTCACCTATTATGGTCCAATATCCAAAATCTAAATACATGGTTAGATTCAGCATATCAAAGAACCCCAAGAATTCAATTTTTGATGAAATCAAACAAAGTTTAATTTTGGACCCTTTTGACCTCAATGTGGACAAAGTTGATAACGGGGCCCAAAAATCAAAAATCTAAATACATGGTTAGATTCGGCATATCAAAGAACCCCATATATTCAATTTTTGTTGAAATCAAACAAAGTTTAATTTTGGACCCCGATTTGGACCAACTTGAAAACTGGGCCCATAATCAAAAATCTAAATACATGTTTAGATTCAGCATATCAAAGAACCCTAAAAATTCAATTTTTGTTAAAATCAAACTAAGTTTAATTTTGGACCCTTTGGACTTTAATGTAGACCAATTTGAAAACAGAACCAAAAATTAAGAATCTAAATACACCGTTAGATTCGGCATATCAAAGAACCCATATAATTCAATTTTTGATGAAATCAAACAAAGTTAAATTTTGGACCCTTTGGACCTCAATGTGGACCAATTTAAAAATGGGGCCCAAAATCCAAAAACTTAATACACGGTTAGATTCAGCATATTAAAGAACCCCAAGAATTCAAGAATAAAACCCATTGAAATTGATCAAGAAATAAGCAATTTATACGAAGTATCTTCTTTTGCACAATACTGTGCAATTGAAAATTTCTTGCTATTGCGCAATACTGTACAATTGACAATTTCTTGCTATTGCGCAATATTGTGCTATTGGATATTTCTTGCTATTGCGCAATACAGTGCAATTGAAGATTTCTTGCTATTGCGCAATACTGTGCAATTGAAGATTTCTTGCTATTGTGCAATACTGTGCAATTGAAAATTTCTTGCTATTGCACAATACTTATTATATAATAATTTACACATCCTGTTTGGTGTGTATCTCCTACCATATCATTATTATTTGCTTTTAAATATTAATCAGAAATAACCAACTTAAAATGGAAAATTTTAAAAGAAAAAAAAAAGGAAAAAAAAAAAAAAAAAGAAAAACAAAAAATCCCCCCTCCCAAATTTTTTGAACCCCCTTATGATTCATCACCCCAAAACTCAATACCAGCCTTCCCTTTGTGGTATGGTACCTTGCAGTACAATTTCAGAGAGATCCATACACTTGAACACAAGTTATTGTCTGGAAACTAGAAAAATGCTTATTTTTGGCCCCTTTTTGGCCCCCAATTCCTAAACGTTTCGGGCAATTACCCCCAAACTCAATTCCAGCTTTCCCTTTGTGATATGGAACCTTGTAGTACAATTTCAGAAATATCCAAACACTTACACACAAGTTATTGTCATGAAACTAGAAAAATGCTTGTTTTTTGCCCCTTTTTTGGCCCCTAATTCCTAAAATTTTGAGGCAATTACCCCCAAAATCAATTACAGCCTTCCCTTTGTGATATGGAACCTTGTGGTACAATGTCAGAGAGATCCATACACTTACACACAAGTTATTGTCTGGAAGTTACAATATGCTTATTTTTGGCCCCTTTTTGGCCCCTAATTCCTTAACTGTTGGTACCATAACCCCCAAAATCAATCCCAACCTTCCTTTCGTGGTATTGAACCTTATGGTAAAATTTCATGGAGATCCATTCACTTAAACTAAAGTTAGAGTGCGAAAACCAATGTGTCTTCGGATGACGCCGGACGACGCCAGACGACGACGACGACGACAACGCCAACGTCATACCAATATACGACCAAAAAATTTTTAATTTTTGCAGTCGTATAAAAATGATAATAATAAACACAATGTACAATAACGAACATGTATCTGTTTTCTTAGACAAAAAGAGTATTCTCTAAAGTAAATAAAAGAAACAACACATCTGATGGTAATAAAATAAAAAAAGCATTGCGTAACTGTAGAAGAGGTTTTCAGTTTAGGTGTAAAAATTATCAAACTTTTTTGATATATTAATTATTAAAAAATCTATCTGAAAAAAGCATGACCAAATTCAAAAGGGAATAGACTAGAAAACTAGCAATGGTCATGTTTTGGAATACATTAGTGGAATGGTTACTTATTCATGTATTACTGAGGATTCATAATTATATGTGGGTAACCAATTTCTGTGGATTTTGAAAGTATAGATTAACTACAAATTTAAAAGTTCAACTGAGTGTAAATTTTCTATAAGGGCTGTTCCATTAAAACATACATGGTACCCAGGGAAGGCACTTTGAAAACGGAGTGACCACCCATAGAAGCCATTTTAGAGTCCTGCATAATTTTAAACCAGTTAAACACAATATTTCACACCCACCCATAGTGGCATATTTAAGTTGCCTTCCCTGGGTCCCATATATGTTTTTATGGAACAGCCCTAAGCTGTATGACGACTTTAGCAAAACCAAAAAATCAAAAATATCCACAAAAATACAATTTTTCCTCCATCCACTAAGATTGGTACCCTGGCACAAAGATAAATGCATCAACAGTACCATATAAATATTACAAAATGATTGAAATTTCTACAAAGTTATTTTCTATGAAAAAAATATTCATATGATAATTAATAACTCTATTAAATTTGTATTTCAAAGAATACTAGCAGTTGATTAGAATTTGGGCTCACCAAACCAAATTTTTTACTCTATACCAACAATTTGAGCACCAAGAAGGCCGTCAAGCTTTATAAGCTTCATTAAGGAATAAATGTATGTTATTCAAAGTGAAAAAAATCTTAAACTAAAAACAGTTAAATTAATTCTGTATAATATATACTGTAGCACTATCATCATCATACTATGTACAAACAGACATCTATGTCCTCCTTAAACAACTTCACATCTATATCATGGATACTGCAATTTGAAAAAAATATGCAGTGTATTATGCTGAAAGTGTGCAGCTATAAATATCTAGCTATAACAAATGATAAAACGACTAAAGCAATCAGAGTTATTTTTTTGGACATCAGTTTCACTTGTTTTCAAAAGTTATGTTGGCCTAGGTTACATCTCAACAGATATTGATAGGAGCCTGCATTTCTTTTTTAAATGTGAATAGTTAAATATTTTGATTCTGTAGAATGTTAGCAATTAACAAAATAATATGGTAAAATGACTAAATATTTGCTTAGCACTAAATTCGTTGCAAATGTGGGAAATACATGTATGTAAACAATCAATTTAATTAAGATTAATTGTGTTTATTCTAAATATTTTTTAAAGTTTTCATTACAAGTGACATGAAAAAGAAAAGCAAGTTTAATTAAATTCATGAGTTTATAGGTACACTAAATATTGTGTGCAAGAGTGTCAGAAAAATTATGCTAATCCATAGTCATGATAGTGCATTGTTTTAATTTACAATTAACGTAAACATGTCATTGTGATCTGTCTTGTTACCTAGCCAAGCAAATAACAAAGAAAACAGGCTCTGTAGCAGTTAGTGAGTTATTTCACCTTATCTAGTGATTTGCAATACATCTTAACCATAAAATGCATTAGAAAATTAACGAACAAATGTAGTTTTGACACATAACTCATATGAATATGAATCCATTCCATTTTGGTTGCTTTTTCATAGTGTTATTACCATGTCCTGATAATTAGGTAAATAAAAATTTTGTAATTATTTTCAAAGAAATCATAAATGATAAGAAAATTTGCAACTTGCAATATGATCATATTTGTACTTGACCTTATAGTAATGACTTTTTTAAAAGCTCTATTGATTCATAATATCAACATTGCAGATATTGTCAATAAAACAGATAAGAAAGTATGAACACAATATAGTATATTATATATCTGTCTTTCAGCTGAAAACAAATGCCAAAGCCATGCAAATCATATTTAGCCAGCCTGGTCCATCTAATAATGTTTATCAGCAAAGCGTAAATCAACTCACAAAACCTGAAGATTGTCAATAACACTATTCATTTAGGTGTAGGTATAGTAAGTACATGTTTCATAATGAAAAGTACGGTCACCTTTACAATGATTTATAATGCTACAGATCCTGATTAATCATGTCACTGATCACGATTAATCATGTCATTGATCATGATTATCCCACATTGCTGTTAAACCACATCATCATACACAATGTATTCTGATGTCTCAGAAATGACACCACTAGGAGTAACAGCAGTATACTCTTCATAAAAGACCACTTGCATCTGAGTCTTGTAACTTTCTGGGACTTTAAACATTGGCCCATGGCCAGGTATGATATAGTCTGCTATTTGTAACATGCCAATACGATTTGCTTCCTGATCTTCTGGCCTTTCACTATTGTCTTGCCATAAACTTGGCTCTCGTAGATCTTCAAAGCATTCAAATAAATCTCCTGTCAATATAAATAAGGATTTTTACATATATTCATAACACATGAACTTAATCATGTTAATTATTCATTTAATAGATTTTTGATTCTCTATTTTGGTATCATCATCATAATTATGGTAGATTTGTAAAACACAATTTCAGTATCAAATTAAATGCTATCTGTATTATAATTAAGCATTGGTAAAACCATGATGCAAGCCTTGTACAAGGGTTAGTTTGTGAAGGGCTCTTAACATTTGCATATTTGTAGGAAATGAAGTTTCACAAAACAATATCCACAATTAAATTTTGTAGTTAAGTCCTTGAAAAATGTATGCAGTCACAAAGGTCCTTCAGGCACTATAAATCTTAAATTATTCTATTTGGTTTCTGTTTATTAATTCTATAAGTTTATCTAACCTGTAATAGCGACAATGCCTTTATCTGTTTCCCTTACAATGACTGAGACATCTTTCCCTGTGTGTCCAGGTGTTGGCACCACTTCTACATAATCATCTATCTCATAGGGAATACCCTGAAATTAATAATATTTACAGGTGAAGAAAGAGAGGTGTTAGAAGTATAATAAAATCAAAGTTAGTTGAAAATCTTATACAATCTGATTAAAATACAGATACAGATGCTTTGCTTACAAGGATCTGAAAACACTCAGTTTTACTTTCTGTTCTGGTAATTATTACATCTGCCAATGAAAATGCAGCCTTCAAATTTTTGAAGGTATATATTAATCCGACAAAACCAGAGGACCTCGAAAGGTCTTTAAAACAGAAAGTAAAACGGAGAATTTTCAGATACGGGTTAGTAAAGCTTAGACGTAGGAACTATATCTTAATCAGATTGAAGGAATATTAATTTGCTAACAATATTTCATAAATTATGTAATTTGTTCAAAAACTAGAACATGCAAACAATGGCAACAAGACATCATCCATGTCATATAATATGTGTAAAATTTTCAGAAGTGTAAATTTGTTCTCAATATTTAAGTCTTTTCTGAACTAAACAAGTGTCCCCTCCCCAGATGAAAAGAATGATCGACTATATAATTTTGTAAAAAGAGTAAATGTGATGTTTTTTTATCCATCATGCCCAGGATTCAAATATGATTTATCCATGTATACAAGTATCTTAAGATGCATAAAGAAAGTATAACATGTATAAGGCCACTTTTTTGGTCTAATGAATTTGAAAATCAAAAAGTGTAACATCTTTAACAAATAGCACCCCTAAGATGTTTACAAGACTTCAGATATCAGGAATAATTGCTTCCAATTTTGCCATACGTATTTGTTTTAGCTTTCAAAGCAAAACTTCTAAACTGCCAAAATAGCCTCATTTTGATATCTTGAATCAATATTTAGATATGAGCCAAGGTATTACCCCAGAATATATTTTTTATCCCAAAATATATTTTGCTATAAGATGTCGCATACAAAGATCTAATTTTGTATAAAATAACTTTTTGGGTAAGTCAATGAAAGACATAGAGCTGCAAAATAGAGGATATTAATGCCATATTCTAGTTGCTGGAAAAATGCATCACAAAAATGAATAACTTACAGCAAGTTAAGCTAAATGGACTTTAAACATTAATTTTAATACATTATTTACTGTTGCATGCAAATTTTAAATCGACAAATGTACTTCATATAATGTTTAATGCACTGAATATACATGTATAGTAAAACATCATCAAAAGACATTTCTAGCATTCCATTACATGCTACTAATGTTCATGAATGCCTTAATAGATGTTTATTGGTTCTTTGTGTTATTGGGATGAATTGCTGTATCATTGAGGCAAATCAGTACCCTGTATCTTCTCTTATCAATCTTTTAATTAAATAACTGTTTATCTTTACTGAAAGATTACATATTTAAGTATGTTCTCTCTTGTTTATGACTTTTTGTCAGATATTCGGAATCCTCTAGTTTTATCCACATAGTTTTTGAAAGAAAAAAGGTGCCAATGTTAAATGTATGAAAAATCTAGATAGAATCATTTTTGCCAAATTTTCAATTGATTATATCTCAAAAACAAGGACATGGACCATTCATTTTTTTTTCTGCTTTATAATTTCTGTTATTTATGCACTATCAACTTATAAGAGTCTTTAATAAAAATGCTCCGCTGGGCGCAGCTTGATATGACCGCAGAGGTCGAACCCTGAACAGTTGGGGCAAGTATGGACAAAACATTCAAGCTTGATACAGCACTGAATTTGGATTGTGATTAAATATTTGACACAGCATAGGTTTCTGACACAGAATGAATGTGGTCTAAGAACTTAAAATTTTTTAATTTACCTTTTCAAACCATATCATTATTATTTGCTTTTATATATAAATCAGAAATAACCAATTTAAAATGGAAAATTTTAAAGAAAAAAAAGGTGAAAAAAATCCCCCCCCCCTCAAATTTTTTGAACCCCCTTATGATTCATCACCCCCAAACTCAATCCCAGCCTTCCCTTTGTGTTACAATGTATGGTGCCTTGCAGTACAATTTCAGAGAGATCCGTACACTTGAACACAAGTTATTGTCTGGAAACTAGAATAAACTGCTTCGCTGAGTGCAGCTGGATACGCCCGCAGAGGTTTAACCCTGAACAGTTGGGGAAAAAATGGACACAATATTCAAGCTTGATACAGGTCTGAATTTGGATTGTAATTAAATATTTGACATACATCTATTACAGGTTTCTGAATAATTGTAGTCAAAGAACTTGAAGTTGGTTATATGAATTGAATTTATATTCAATTAAAGATTTCTTGCTGTTGTGCAATACACTGTGCTGTTGCGCAATACTTAGTAAATCTGTCTGTTTATAAAATTCTAAAGGGAGCTTACATCAATAGATATAAACAGTTCACCAAAGTTTCATACTAATTGCTGAAAACATTTTTGAGTTTTTGTCTGAAAACCGGAAAATCCCCCCTTTTTTAATGAATAAACCCCATAATTCGGAAATTTAAAATCTAAAATTTATAAAATTCTAAAGGGAGCTTACATCAATAGATATCAACAATTCATCAAAGTTTCATGAGAACTGCTGAAAGCATTTTTGAGTTATTGTCCGAAAACTGGAAAATCCCCCTTTTTTTTATGAATAAAACCCCATAACTCGGAAAGTAAAATCTAAAATTTATAAAAATCCAAAGGGAGCTCATGTCAATAGATATAAGCAATTAACCAAAATTTCTTGCAAGTTGGTGAAAGCATTCTTGAGTTATTGTCCAAAAACTGGAAAATCCCCCTTTTTTTAATGAATAAAACCCCATAACTTGGAAACGTAAAATCTAAAATTGATAAAAACGAAAGGGAGCTCACGTCAATAGATATAAACAATTCACCAAAGTTTTAAGCAAATTGGTTAAAGCGTTTTTGAGTTAATGTCCAACATGTTGACGACGGACGGACGTACAACAGTATACCATAATATGTCCCGTAAACGGGCGTATAAAAATGCTTATTTTTGGCCCCCTTTTGGCCCCTTCTCCTAAACGTTTTGGGCAATTACCCCCAAACTCAATTCCAGCTTTCCCTTTGTGATATGGAACCTTGTAGTACAATTTCAGAAAGATCCATACACTTACACACAAGTTATTGTCATGAAACTAGAAAAATGCTTGTTTTTTGCCCCTTTTTTGGCCCCTAATTCCTAAAATGTTGATGCAATTACCCCCAAAATCAATCCCAGCATTCCCTTTGTGATATGGAACCTTGTGGTACAATGTCAGAGAGATCCATACACTATCACACAAGTTATGTCTGGAAGTTACAAAAATGCTTATTTTTGGCCCCTTATTCCTTAACTAATGTTACCATAACCCCCAAAATCGTTCCCAACCTTTCTTTTGTGGTATTGAACTTTGTGGTAAAATTTCATAGAGATCCATTCACTTAAACAAAAGTTAGAGTGGGAAAACCAATGTGTCTTCGGACGACGACGACGCCGGACGACGACGCCAACGTCATACCAATATACAACCACAAAAATTTTTTGCGGTCGTATAAAAAGCAGGTTATTTTTGAAACAGGGGAGAGAACATCCTTAAGATCACATTCATTTGTTACCTTGTCAAATTGATGTAACATATACTGCTCCCCAACACATACATCATAACACACTATGTGTACTGCATTAGTAAACAGATTGTTATTACCAACATGATCTCCATGGCCATGACTGCATACTACAAAACTAATCTGTTCTGGTTTCAGACCATGCTTTTCTAATCCTGAAAAAAACAATCTTTGAATTAGGCAATTCTAAAACCAAAGTATCATAAATGTATTTTTTATATATTTTCTTCTTTACCTTTTAACATTAATATGTTGCTTTGATAAAAATTACTTAAAACTTATCTATAAACAAGAGTGCACACGCTGAAATGTCTCGCCTGCTTTACTACCATTGATTTTATGTTGATAGCCCTAAATATAAAGTTTTATTTCAAGTATCACATTTACTTATCATGATCCAAGAAAATGAGGTTAAGGTCAGATAAACCAAGCCAGAAATACATGTACACCTTACAATCATTCCATACACCAAATATAGTTGACCTATTGCTCATAGTATACAAGAAACAGACCAAACTATGAAAACTTTATATTGACCAATGAACCATGAATATGAGGTCAAGGTCAGATGAACCCTGTCAGACAAACATGTTCACTTTACAATCATTCCATGGATTAAATATAGTTGACATAATATATAGTATCTAAAAACAAACTTTTAAAAAAAACCATGAAAACTTATCATTGACCAATGAACCATGAAAATGAGGTCAAGGTCAGATGATACCTGCCAGACAGACATATAAATATAACAATCATTCCATACACCAAACATAGTTGACCTATTGCTTGAAGTCTAAGAAAAACAGACCAAAACACAAACTTAACATTGAGCAATGAACCATGAAAATGAGGTCAAGATCAAATAAAACCTGCCAGACTGACATGTACATCATAAAATATTTCCATACACCCAAATACAGTTGACCTATTGCATACAGTATTAGAAAAATAGACCAAAACACAAAAACTTAACATTAACCACTGAACCAAGAAAATGAGGTCAAGGTCAGATGAAACCTGCCAGTTGGACATGTACACCTTACAATCATTCCATACACCAAATATAGTAACTGAGATATGGACTTCACCACGAAAACTTAACCTTGTTCACTGATCCATGAAATGAGTTCAAGGTCAAGTGAAAACTGTCTGACAGGCATGAGGACTGTGTAAGGTATGATAATTATAATAAGAGAGAAATTAACATTACAAAAAATCTTAAATCTTTTTTTCAAGTAGTCACTGAACCATGAAAATGAGGTCATGGACAAAGGTCATATGACAGACAGAAACTTCATAACATAAGGCATATATATACAAATTATGAAGCATCCAGGTCCTTTACCTTCTGAAATATTAATTTTTAAGTAGTTAGTTAACACTGCCAGATCACTATACCTATGTCGAGCTTTCTGCGACAAAAGTCATAGGCTTGACAAAAAATCATTTGGTTTGTATTGTTAAGAACATTTATCCAAACTTATTATACATGTGGTTGATCAAGTAAGACCTTGAGTTTAGGTCATTGGTAAGAAAGCCTAAAATAATTTTCTTACATTCTACTTTCTGTTTAAATCTTCTGAATTTACTAAGCTTGAGTGAATAATTCCATAGGGATAGAAAAGGGAAGGACCTCTATTAATAGGTATCTTTTTAGGAAAACAGGTTAAACCTTAACTTGGGAAATTCTACACGGCAATTGTTTTCTAGTTATAAATAAAAGGCATTGATTCTATATTGAGTACCCATAGTTCATGATTTATTCTTCTTTTTTGTTGCATAATAAAAATTAACCTATAATGTTTTGATTTTAGGGAGCTACCATTTGATTTTTATGGGGGGCTAGGATGAAAAATTTTGTCCTGCATTTTATTTTAGTTGTAATCTCTGTCCTGCCTTTTTATTTTTTTCTCTATACGGTCCTGCCTTTTTTTTTTAATAGTTTATCCTGACTTTTTTTACATAAATTGTCATCCTGCCTTTTTTTTTTTGCAATGTTGCTCATCCTGCCTTTTTTTTTTACTCAAAACTCCAGTCCTGCCTTTTTTTTTTTAAATTTCATCCTAGCCCCCCCCCATAAAAATCAAATGGTAGCTCCCTTATTGTCACTGGATGATAGCATTTGGTCATACATTATTTGTGTTTCTAATATGACATCCTTATTTCGCTTTGTAAACAAAGCCGTGTTTTAATTAGCACAAAATATGTTTGACACATGCATGCAAACTTAGCGTTTACATTCTCCTTATTTTCATTTTTATCCTAACAAAATATATATATTTTAGCTGCTTTTATAAAGTTAAATTATATATTGTCATTAAAACCTCATACATTTACCCTCTTTTAGTTTTTAAAATTATCAAATATGAAAAAGTAATGTGCATAATTCATGGGGAGGAAACGAGAAGAGCCAAACATTCCTAAGGTAATTTGTACACTTTAAAAAATACTGTATTTGTCCTATCAGAATTGAAATAATTCCTTCATGTCATGCTCTATGCTCATTTTAACATGAATAGGCATTATATTTGCCCACATTTTACACCTCGCTTATGCTCAGTATAAAATATCGACAAATATAATGCCTACCCATGTTAAAAAGAGCATAGAGCATGACATGAAGTAATTATTTCTAAAATTATCCAAGCAAAAATAAGTTATGACCCTTTTCAAGAGAGATATTCTGAGTAACAGAAAAAAAAAAAAGACATTGCATTCTAATTTCTAACAACCTCAAGTTTTATGACAATAATTATTTTATCCTAGGACTGTTCTTTTTAAATCAGGTACTGGTAAGGGTCATGGTCTAAAATGTTCCCTTGGGATGTCCCACATAGAAAAATCTAAATATTAATTATATGTGACACGAAAACACGTATTCCAGTTATGAAAAATTAATTTTGTTTTCTTTCATCTGATTCAATTGGAGTAGACTTCAAAATCTGCTTTAATAGTTATATATGAAATCAAATAGTACCATCAAGAATTAACTGTTTGTCCCATGGATTTCCTGTATCTACCATTATATTTTGTGGACCTTTCAGCAAGGTTATTGTTCCTGCTGCTTTCATCAAACCTACAAATACAACATTGAATGCATTATTATGATTTTAGATTTAATAGTATTGGTCTCTTTTGTTCATGTCGTTTGTTGAAAAGACTTTGACATGTTTAACAATCTTCTTCTAATTCATCATATACAACATGAAGTTTTACCTGTCTTATATCAAGGATTTGTATAGTCTCACTATACAAATCCTTGCTTATATTAATTCCTGTTGGTATTCAACAAGAAGTGGTTGTTTTATCATTTATCTTTTTTATTTTTTCTATTATTTTGAGAATTAAGTGTTGATCATGATAATGGCAAACAAGTTTCTGTTCGATATAATTTCAACTTTTAATAGATTTCATGGATTTATAGCTTCACAGATTGTGTAGAGTACTAGACATTTGTCTTTTGATAAAGACTGTGTTCCCTCTAGATTTTATCCCTTAGGTTGCTGATTCAATGACATATACTCGACATCTCTTTTTATTCAGAAAAAGACAGTTAAAATTGATTTAATTTTTCTATATTGTTAAGTACGTGTACCTTCAAAAGGACAGAAATATTCACAGAATAACGCTGTATTACAAAATAAATGTACAGTGTATTAAAATGCAATTAAACAAGAAAATACTCATAAACAAAATAATGAATATATATATACACGCTATAATTGTAAGCAACAAAAAGCATTGTCATTCTTCAAGTTCTTTTTGGACGCAGTGTTATACGTATGTTCATTTTTTTGATGGAGTTTTATACATATGTATATTGTATTTATACCAGACACTTTAATTTTAAGCATTTATTCTTCATATATCTTTTTTTTCTTATTTTCTGACCACCAGCTGTCTTGTTGCTTGTAAATCATTTCCATTCATCAAGTTCATGTACTGTCCTCCATTAATCCAATGCCTAATTCTACTCTAAAAGTCTTAAAATACAGTATTTTCTACCTATTCATCGTATTTTTTTTTTCATATAAAATCTCAGGGCTGTGTTTTTTATCAAACCGTAGATTCTAGATCGGAATCTTGTGGAATTTTTTTCTGTTCTGCTGCATAAACACATGACGCAGATAACCAGACAAGATGTATGACGTGTATGAGTGGAACTTTTAGTCATGAAATCAAATATTTCTAAATGAAATACACAAATATATCTTATTATATGTAAAACTAGAGGCTCTAAAGAGCATGTGTCCGTCACCTTGGTCTATATATGCATAGGACACTCAAACATTGTAGACCAGAATAGAATTCATGACAAAAATTTCTGTTTTGTTGATCTTGTATTGCTGATCATTTTGTCTGTTTAGTTTCTCTCTATCTTCTTTAGTTTTTGCTCAAAGCACAAAAGAGGGTAAACAATCCTAATTTAAGGGCAATTACTCCTATAACGAGTGACAGTCTACTAATTATATAATTATATCAGCAAAACTTGACTTGTTAGAAGATCTGGTCTTGCTGATCATTTTTGCTTATTTAAGTTTCTATCTATATAGCTATCATTTATAATTTTTATCATATAAAAGCAAAAAAAAATGGTAAAAATCATCATTAAACATGTTAAAGGGCAATAACTCCAAGTTGTCACAACAATTTCCACCATATTGTCTTAATTGTAGATCTTGTCTTGCTCATCATTTTTGCTTATTGCTTAAAAAATGTATGTATCCTGACTCTAGTCCTAAAAATAATGTTAAAACTATAAGCTTATTCTGAGAATAAATAACCAAGATTTCAATGGCAGGAATTTGTCTACCAAACAAAAATGATTTTTGAAAAATTACTAAAAAAAGAATTACCTGGTCCATCGGAAACAGAATATCCTTCCTTTAATACTATCACTTCATACATTTTTAAGTTGTCAGAGCTGGCCATCACCTGAAAAATCTTATGTTATAAACAAGTTCAATTAACAAAACTAAAGATATAATACATGCATGTATATATTTATTGAAGCATAATGTAACTTATTAACTACAAAATGTCCAACGGGGAAAGCTGAATAAGTGAATACTGTAAATTTAATCAGAAATTATTGTGTGCATTTATTATTGCGATTTTTCAAGAATGGACAAAAATGTGAGATTATGATTTCAGGAAAAGCTACATACAGATATACATCATGTACATGTATGTACTAGAAATCATAATGCAAATTTGTATTATTCTGATATATATTTATACTCACTGTCACCCAGTACTATTATTCACACTTATAAAAACCTCGCAATAATTTCTGAATTTACAGTATTCAAAAGTATGTGTAGAGTGTAGCCATACATATTTTTGAACATTGTATTATTTTCTTTCCACAAAAATGTGCTGGTTTTTTTCTATACATGTAGATCTTAATAATATTATAGATCTTTAAGCTAAACTTACAAAGTATGAAATCAGCATTACAGTAAGGAAATCTAATATTGAGGTCAATACTAACTAAACTATTACCTGTAATCCTTAAACTTCTATAAACCTTTTGAGTCACTACTCTGACAGCATACATGTGTTTTAGTGTTCTACAACTTAGCTACATGTAAATTAAATCTGATGGTGCAACAATTGCCTTCAAATAAATTTAAATTTTCTTCTGACATCTCTGAGAAAATTTCACTTATAATTATATGAAAGTGTCATCGTTTTTCACAACCACTGCCTATTTATTTATCTAGTTTCTGTTTTCCAAAAATTTCACCAACATATCAGTTACCAAAACCCCTTCTATTGTTCCCAGAAAACTAAATATGGGACAATGTTTTGTAAAAACTATGTCCGTTCATTGACAAATTGCAACTTCTAGTCAAAATCTGAATCCAAAAACTTTTTTTACTACCCTTCTGAAACATGAGCCATGAGGTTTTTTTTCTTAAGAAAGATAGAAATTAGAATCAACAATTAGTTTGACCCATGGCATTCTTTTACATGTATTCTCAAGGAATATTTTGATAAGATAAAATTGATTTTCAAATGTACATGATGTTTATGTTAAAGGATAGGTATTTTCAAAAAAAAATTTACAGATTCTGAATAGAAGTTGCATGTGTAGTACATGTACTAAAATAAAAATGTAGTAGCTAAAAATATAGTTTTACAGGCTTGATAAAGGATTTTGTTTATATCTAAATCTGCAATGGTCTAGACTAAAAATCTCTTATCCAAACTCTAAATTACTGCATTGTTTTAATCAATAAAACATCATAAGAACTATAAAACTTGAGTTTAATTAGAAGAATGCACAACTTTCACTGTGCACCTGTCTCATATTAGACAAATCATTCAGAGATGTCAGACTTTGTCTCTCCTGTCAGACTCTTCATCAGAAAATGACTTTGAAAATGAAATGAAAAAAAAATATTGAATTTTTAGTGAGAGAAAATCTTCTACAAAGGAATAATAATAATAAAAAATGTTTTGCATAGTTTATTTCTATATTATTTTTATTATCAATTGATTTCACCTTTATCTTGAGTTTAATTAGAAGAATGCACAACTTTCACTGTGCACCTGTCTCATATTAGACAAATCATTCAGAGATGTCAGACTTTGTCTCTCCTGTCAGACTCTTCATCAGAAAATGACTTTGAAAATGAAATGAAAAAAAAATATTGAATTTTTAGGGTGAGAAAATCTTCTACAAAGGAATAATAATAATAAAAAATGTTTTGCATAGTTTATTTCTATATTATTTTTATTATCAATTGATTTCACCTTTATCTTATATATTATTCAATAAACATGGATCAGATGTAGACTTGTGTACATAGTATATAATTCAATGAGACATCTTTGTAATTATGGTTAATACATAAAAATATGAATTCAATTAATCATATTCACCAAGTTGTAGAACTGGTCAAAATTGTATGGTACTTTCAAAAACAAGAAGTCTTGTCAGTTTCACTTACTGTCTGACATAACTCTCTGAGTTTTCATTGACACTGACAGTGATTGATCAACATCCCTGATTACTGCCAGAAAATAAAAGATTCAGAGTAAAAAGACTATAAAGTACAATACATGCTGTACGTAGAAATAGTACAAATAATTATGGTGTCATTGAAGGCTAATATACATGTATTTTATGCATTGGTTACTTTAGCAGGTTGGGAACAACCCCTCAAATGAGGGATAACCCCTCAATGTAATGACTATCCCTTGTATGAGGGGTAAATTTCAAGTGATAAAAACTATTTTTTTTGTAAAAAACACTTCTTAGTACAAAATGGCACATATTTATATTATTTGCAAAAACTTTTCCCAAAGAACTATACATCTATCTGGTATTTTTATTGCCAAAACATGTCCAAGAATTTTGGAATATTCATGGACTTCAATCTTTTTTATTATTAATAAAATGCTTTGCTGGGCGCAGCTTGATACAACCGCAGAGGTCGAACCCTGAACAGTTGGGGCAAGTATGGACACAACATTCAAGCTTGATACAGCTCTGAATTTGGATTGTGATTAAATATTTGACACAGCATTGGTTTCTGACACAGAAAGAATGTGGTCTAAGAACTTGATTTTTTTTAATTTACCTATTATGGTCCAATGTCCAAAATCAAAATACATGGTTAGATTCAGCATATCAAAGAACCCCATATATTAAATTTTTGTTGAAATCAAACAAAGTTTAATTTTGGACCCCAATTTGGACCAACTTGAAAACTGGGCCAAAAATCTAAAATCTAAATACATGTTTAGATTCAGCATATCAAAGAACCCCAAGAATTCAATTTTTGTTAAAATCAAACCAAGTTTGATTTTGGACCCTTTGGACCTTAATGAAGACCAATTTAAAAAAACAGGCCACAAAAATTAAAAATCTAAATACACGGTTAGATTTGGCATATCAAAGAACCCCAATAATTCAATTTTTGATGAAATCAAACGAAGTTTAATTTTGGACCCTTTTGACCTCAATATGAACCAATTTGATAGCGGGGTCCACAAATAAAAAATCTAAATACATGGTTAGATTCAGCATATCATAGAACCCCATATATTCAATTTTTATTGAAATCAAACAAAGTTTAATTTTGGACCCCAATTTGGACCAACTTGAAAACTGGGCCAAAAATCAAAAATCTAAATACATGTTTAGATTCAGCATATCAAAAAACCCCATATATTCAATTTTTGTTAAAATCAAACAAAGTTTAATTTTGGACCCTTTGGACCTTAATGTAGACCAATTTGAAAACTGGCCCCAAAATTAAAAATCTAAATACACGGTTAGATTCGGCATAACAAATAAATAAATGTGGTCAAAGATTTTACAAATCTAATGCGCCATACTGTGCAATTAAAGATTACTTCTTGAAATTTTTCAATATTTGAAATTTGAAAAAAAAAAATATTTGAAGAATAATTCTTTTTAATTTCTGAAATCTGAAATGAGAAAAAATTGACCCCCCCACAATTTCTTTTTACCCCCCCCCCCCTTTTTTCCCCCAAAAAATTCTTTCCCTCAAGATATGGTCACAATCTCAATTCAAATTTCCAATGGAGTTTGCAACCATAGTTACCCATTTAAATTTACCATAGTGCTAACTTAATCTATTTTATAATAGAATTTAAAATATAGTGTCAAATCTTTCATATGGATTTTTTTGTAAAAAAAAAAGATGCAACATTTGCAGATATTTTTACTGGTCTTCCTTTATAAATATGCATTTCTTTAAACATAATTTAAAAGCAGTGTAAGGGAAGTAACCAAAACGTTGTATTTGGATTACCTCCCTTACACTGTTTTAAATTATCTTAATTGTTCATTAACCATTACTTTATACATAATTTAAAAGCAGTGAAAGGGAGATAATTTCAATGATGTATTTGATTTACCTCCCTTACACTGCTTTAAATTATGTTTTGTACTAAAGTATTTGTCCATTAATCAGGACAACCTTGTTTTTCCCCTAATTCCTAAACGGTTTGAGCCATAACCCCCAAAAGCAAATCCTAACCATCCCTTTGTGGTATGGAAACTTATAGTATAATTTCAGAGAGATCCATACACCGTTCCACAGTTATTGTCTGGAAACTAGAAAATGCTTATTTTTGGCCTCTTTTTGGCCCCTAATTCCTTAACTGTTGGTACCATAACCCCCAAAATCAATCCCCACCTTCCTTTTGTGGTATAGAACCTTATGGTAAAATTTCAAAGAGATCCATTCACTTAAACTAAAGTTAGAGTGCGAAAACCAATGTGTCTTCGGACGACGATGACGACAACGACAACGACGACGACGACGCCAACGTCATACTAATATACGACCGCAAAATTTTTTTGCGGTCGTATAAAAATAAGAGGACCCCTCTTTTAGAAAAGTTGTTCTAAATAATGAATTTTCCCCCTTTTAAGTTAAAAAAGCTATGTTTTTCTTTTTTCTCTTCAACAACAGCAAAATGACCCTTTTTTCTGAGGGACAGTCCCTCATTTAAGGTATATCCCTTATTTGGGGGGTTGTTCCCAACCTGTTTAGCCCTCAGCAGACGTCATGAAAAAATTTATCTGGACAAGCTACTATTAAAAAAACTATAATGAAAGTGTGCCTACCTGACATGTCGGTACGCAACAACAAATAGTATGTGCTTGCTTAATACTACTGACCTTCTTAAATGTAGTTGCAACCGAAGCTTTACTTACATATATATATATATATAGATTTACCTAACTCTGTTCGAGAAAAATCTCGTTTCGGTTTTATCAAAATATATGATCGAAGTCAATTTGAAGCTTTAAATTTATAGTGCCATACGTCCTAATATCAAACGCAAATAAGACTTTGTTTCAAAATCTTGAAGAATCCAGTCATTTCGAGAAAATATTGATAGCCTGGGTTCAGTTCAAGGTCAAAGTTCAAAAGCTTTATTTATAGAACCTCTATCATTGTAGATCATTGTGTACGGCGGCAAAAAACACAAGGATCACTATATCTTTGCAGATGATCTACTTTCAGTGATATTAGCTTGGACTATTATACTAATAATATATTATGTCCCAGATATATCAGAGAGTAAAGAAGGTCTACAGAACATGATGTAAATAAATTTAGTAGTTTCAAGGATTTGTATAGTCCTACTATAGTACACTCGGGGAGGGGGGGCACTTCAATCTTTCTTTGGTAGGGGTGGGCAGCTGAGACATCAAGTACCCCACCCTTTTCATATATTTTGTTTTTATCAAAAATATATACCCTGTCATATATCAATTAACAAAAAAAACAGACCTATAGATACATTTCCCTATCTTAGAATACTTATGAAACCTGATAAGCATCCGTTTAGTTCTAGTAACACCTAACAGAGTAACACTTTCAGTTTTATATAAATGAAAAACTTATAAAAGGTTAAATTTCCGTTCCATCTTAAAGGACGCTGACACTGGAATTTCTTTTAATATAATTGTTATCATGTTTCATATATGCAAACCTTTGAATGTTAATTAGGTGCAAAATGTCAAAATAATCGGATTTATAGCATCTATAAGTAGCATCAGTGGAAACATATAAAGATATATAGAGATAAATTACTTTGACAAATAGCCGATGCATTTACGACTGTGGTTCAACCCATCAAAAATAAATACTGACATCTAATTAGTTTTACAACCTAATGATATATTTAATCTGAATTTCTCACCTTTTTCATATATCATGGAGCATGGAATAGTGACCTATTCCAGCGGATAATCCCTACCACTCATTACATAGTAAGTGCACCCCCCCCCCCCCCCCCCCCCCCCGAGACTATACAAATCCTTGGTAGTTTCTGTGAAATTTGGCAACTTACTTTAAAATATAAATAAAAACCATGATTTTACAGCCCCATAGTTTAATTTTTAACCATAGGCAGGTACTTGGAGATAGGACAATATTTGTTTAGCCCTCCCCCTTTTTACCCAAAAATCCGTTATTTTTTCGTTTTCTATTACCTTTCACTGACCGCTGTGGATAGTAAACCTGGAATTGATAGTAAATAGCAAATACAAGTTATTTCTATGTTCATATACTGTAATACAGAAAAACGCGAAAATAATTGAAATTAATAGAAAACAAAATAAAAAAATAACGGATTTTGAAAAAAGAGGGAGGGTAAAAAAATTGTTCTGTCCCAAATACCTATGTTCTTAACTACAATGATAATATGATAAAAAAAAAATGCATTAGAATATAAATTCCTAGGAACTCTTATAAAGAACAATGACAACCTTAGTTCAAGTTTAGAAGACCTAGCAAAAATAGCAAGAAAAGTCATGTTTTCTGTTAAAGCCAAGGTAGCTTCATTGTGAAATCTCCCAATAGAAATTTCTAGTAATCTTTTTGGTAAATAAGTCCAACCAGTTTTAACTTATAACTCGGGGATATCCTCTATAGATAGCTATTTAACACGATACAGAGACAAGATAAGAGCTGATCAAAATATTAAAATCTTTGATCAAATTTCATTTATTGATAAAACTCCATTCGAAAAGGTTCACATTAGTTTTTGTAAATTTTTGCTGGGCACCAGAAAAAAAATGCTTAAAATAAAGCAGTCCGAGAAGAACTACCCTTGAACATTTATTTTTTCACAGTCTGTATCTTACCAGCCTAGATTGAAGTCTGAAAATATAAATCCATTACTTAAAGAAGCATTTATATTGTCAAAACTGCTGGACTCGCATGGTACTTATTCTTCGTATACATATGACAAGAATATTTCACCCAACCCAGACCTTTTAAATAAAGTTAATAAACTCTTTAAAGCCCTTGATTAAAAATGAATTTAAAGAAAAATTTAAAAATATTTTTGAAAATAGAATAAATAGTTAGGATGAAAATAGTAAACTGTTACTTTATAAAAATTTAAAACATAGCTTGGATAGGGTATTTTATTTAGCTTCCAATGACTTTTCTATACCGAGAAAATGCTTCACTAAGTTGATAATTAGTGACCATAATTTAGAAATAGAAAAGGGTCGCTATTATAAAATTCCTAGAAAGGATAGAATATGTAAACTGTGCCACTTGCTGGAGGATGAAAAACAATTCCTCCTTGAATGTAAAATTAACAAAAAACTAAGGGATAATCTATTTGAAAATTGTTTACCTTCTCATAACTTTAGGTCTCTAACCCAAGAACAAAAAGTAATAGAAATGCTAAACCCCTCTATCATGGAACATGTTTAAAATATTGGCTCCTTTATAAGACAGTCATAAGAACTGAGGGCAGAAGTCCATGTGTTCATTTCTTATTTCTTATAGAATTGTTAATTCTTTGCTATATGATGTTTGCTTTTGTTTTTTGTCACAAACTATTTATGTTTATACGACAATAAAGATATTATTATTACTGGGCGAGGACCAGGTACCGCACAGCCACATGAATCGGAAACTTTCTATCAATAATAAGGTAAAGGGCATCTCAAAGATCGTCGGGCAACTTTTATAAGAATTTTTCGAGCCCTGAGGTTAACGTTACATTTGTACCGTCACCTTGCATTTTATGCAATAACGGACGCGTGCGTCAATACGTATACGGCATACTGCTATTATCTTCATCAAATAACTGCTATTATATTTTTACAATCTTGGTTTTGTTTGATCCACTCAAGACTCGGAAATCCGGCTTTTTTATTCTTTTGTCACGTTGCGGGAGATACGCGTGCGGGATATATGACGGCTTCACTTGATGACGGCATCGATTTTATGTTAAAAGAATATTTCCACAAGCATTTCCCGTTTAAAGTTATTTGAGATAAACAGCGAATTTCTGACGGTAACTGGTACCGGACCAGTCAGTACATGAAGCATACATATAAATGACACGAAGAAGTTAGTTATACAATGCAAAAATATTAAAGATACAGTAAGCAATCATTATTATCAGCAGTTAAAAACACATAAGCAGTTAAAACACATTTAGCAGAAAAGCACTATAAATAAAAGCATTTAAAATCATTTGCAGGCATTTATCCTCATAAATAAATCTCAAGGCTCTCTCTTGCCCAATTTTTTCCATCTTATTTGTGCTTTTTTCACTATAAAAAGGCCAGGTGATTGTGCAATAATTAAGATTAGACAAAATAAAAGAATAATAAGTTTTGAAACTATCAAGTCTATTCAAATATCTACCAATAGTTTACGTTTAACTAGTTCAACTCGATCACAGTAGCTTAACATTTTTTTCACATTCTATTCTATTTTCTTTAAGGTTAAATACAATATCATGATTAAATTTTTTTTACCAATGGCCAGTGCTTGAAATATCTTATTAGCGTTCGTTAAATTGTAATCAAACCAGTACAGCATTTTGAGACTATCATTTTCTAAAATTTTAATAACATTCTGTATATCAAAATCAGCATAGGATAAGGTGTTGTCATCAGCATAATTATAAATGGTACTATTGTTAATTGCACCAAAAATGTCATTTATAAAAATATTAAATAGCATAGGTCCAAGTATTGCACCTTGCTGAATACCACAGGCACTTGTCTCTGAAAAAAAATTCCTATATACCTTAATTACTAATATTATTAATCGTTACATATTGTTTTCTTTTTTGTTAGTAGCTCTGTAATAGAGCTATAAAACTATTTTGATAAACCGTCAGTTTTCATTTTGTAATAATAATAACTCATGCGGCAAACAGTCGAATGCCTTTGATAAGTCCATCAATATTGATGCGACTAATTTCTTATCGTCTAGTGCCGTCTTCAAATCCACGATAGCTGGGTTCCAGTCAACGGCTCACATAGGCTAAGCAGTAAGTTGACCTGGATCCAGGCTAAGTGCATGGATTATGAAACACGATAGTAATTCAGGGGAAAAAACTACGTTGCGGTTACGAATTTGTATTACAAATAAATATCATAGGTACTTAGGGAGAAGACATTTTTCTTAGTCCTCCCCCTTTTTTTCTAAAATCCTTTATTACTTTTATTTTGTTTTATTTTTGCATTTTACTGTGATATATTAACATACATATACATATACTAGAAATAACATATATTTACTATATTTACTATCAATTCCAAGTTTACTATCCACAGCGGTCACTGATAATATATATAGACCGCTATGATATCAATGCCTGTAGTTATTTTAAACATGAAACTATTATATTCATTTAACTTCCATGGTTCATAGAAGTCGTTATTGTAAGAAAAGTTACAGTTGTAGAACATCGACTGTTCGCCTGGCATTTGTATATACTGTCACAACCTGTCCTTCTTTGCCATTTCATTAATTCCAATTTGGAATTAATGAAAATGGCAATGGAAGTTGTGACTATATTTATAAAAAATGAAACATGTATAACTTGACGTTCAGGATTATCTATATTGTAGTGTTATTAAATGGGTGTTTTCATATTAATCCAGTATTATGTTAAGTACAGTCGTATTGGGTCGAGGTTAGCTGTATAGGCTCGAGGCGTAATACGACTGTACGAGGACATAATACAGGATTGATATATGAAAGCACCCAATATATGACATTTTATTAACCAAGTACTTTTAAAAAATTGCCAGGAATACATGGAATGGAGTTAGAGAGAAGACAGTAAAAAAGGGTAATCTGCCTATCTATTGAGATTATTGTAAGTTTGAAATATTAACAACATATTGCTTATTTTTTTCCACTGCAGCAGATTATTAATAATTTTTGTTTGCGAAACTATTGTTTCAGGATGTATAAAAACTGAGAGAGAAAATTTTATTCAAACTCTAATTCTATTACTTTTGA